AGGTGCAAGTTGCCCGGGACCAGACAGGCTGTCGCCAGTACTTGTGCACATGCGCAAGTGCTGGCGCGCCAAAAGTTGCAGATTGACCCGGGAATGGCCTATATAAGAGGCCAGGAGTTTTGGGCATTGCTGTGTGTCTTCTAACTGTAAGCTGAACTAAGAATAAAGAAGTCTTGAGAACTACAACTGCTTCTCGTGTCTTGCCATTTCGCGAAGGACGCAACACTGGCGACGAAGGTGGGATGCCTTACATCAAGCAAAAAGGTGTAAGCTTACCCGAGTGAGTCCTGAGCGGCAGGAACGGCGTTGACTCGGCAGCTACCCGCCAATCCAGCGTGCATTCGGGGGTAGGCTGGCAGATAGACCCTTCCTTCTACAAAATGGCAAAAATTGGAAGGCTTTCGGAATTCGACGTCTCACATCCAGAGAGGTGGGAGTCCTATGTAGCCAGGGTGGAAAACTACCTCAAGGTAAATCAAGTACGGGAAGATAGTTTAAAGGCTGCCACCCTGCTGTGCGTTTGCGGTCAAGACGCATTCGTGTTAAGGGGGAGGCCACCCTTAACGTACAGTATAAGGATTTTGAAGGTCCACTAGATCTAATAGTAGTAGGGGGTGAACGAACGAGTCTCATAGGACTCGATTGGTTTGAGGCCTTGAGAATACACGTCACAGGGCTCAATAGTCTGCAAACACTTGACCTACAAGAAGTCTGCAAAGAATTTGCAGATGTCTTCAGCCCCCAGCTGGGCACATACAAAGGACCCCCTGTGTCATTAAAACTAGACCCCACTGTCACTCCCATTAGAATTAAAGCAAGAAGGGTCCCTTTTGTTTTAAAAAGTAAAATTGACACTGAGTTGGACAAATTGATTCAGCAAGGAGTTCTAGAACCTGTTGACTCCAGTCCCTGGGAAACCCCCATTGTCACACCTCTCAAGGCAAATGGGGACATTCGCATCTGTGCTGATTACAAATGCACTCTGAATAAGGCATTGCAGCAACATGCCTATCCTGTTCCTGTGGTCAGTCATATTCTGGCCTCCCTCAAGGGGGGGCGCATTTTTGCAAAGCTTGACCTAGCTCAGGCATATCAACAGCTGCCTGTTGATGCTGCTGCTGCTGTAGTGCAGACCATTGTGACCCACAGAGGGGCCTTCAAGGTGAAGAGGCTTCAATTTGGAGTAAATGTTGCTCCTGGAATTTTCCAAAGCGTAATGGAAAACACACTACGGGGTATACCAGGGGTTTGCCCCTATTTTGATAATGTCTTAATTGCAGGAGATTCTACACACAGTTTAATTGAGAGATTAAGGGCTGTCCTGTTAAGGTTCAGGAAAACGGGCCTCAAGCTTAAAAAGGACAAATGTAAAATTGGGGTGCTTTCTACTGATTTTCTGGGATTCAAAATTGATGCTTCTGGGATTCACCCCGCTGAATCCAAACTGAAAGCTATTATGCATGCTCCCAGGCCAAAGTCTAAGGCCGAACTACAGGCTTTCTTGGGCCTTCTGAATTTCTACAATTCCTTTCTTCCACATAAGGCTAGTATAGCTGAGCCTCTTCACAGGCTATTAGACAAACAGGCAGTGTGGCAGTGGTCACAAAAACATGAGGCAAGTTTCAATGAGGTCAAGGCCTTACTCACTTCTAACAGTGTACTCGCACATTTCAATGAATCCCTTCCTGTGTGCATCGCTTGTGATGCTTCTTCTTATGGGGTAGGAGCTGTACTAAGCCACCTCAGGGCAGATGGAACTCAGGTTCCTGTTGCATACTACTCCAGAACCTTGTCTTCTGCTGAGCGTAATTACACTCAAATAGACAGAGAGGCCTTAGCTGTGGTTGCTGGAATTAAAAAATTCCATGATTTTTTATATGGCAGGCATTTCACGGTCTTCACTGACCATAAGCCTTTGTTGGGGCTGTTTACCACACGTAAGCAAACTCCCCAAATCATCTCCCCCAGAATGCTAAGATGGTCTATCTTTCTTTCTGCCTATGATTTCTCCCTACTTCATAAACCTGGGAAGGAAATGGGCCATGCTGATGGCCTCAGTAGGTTACCCCTGCCGGTAATAGAAGCTGACCCTGCACCAGCTATCAATCTTCTCTCCATTCAGGCCTTGCCCGAGTCTCCTTTGAATGCCAGAGATGTAGCCGCTGAATCAGGCACAGATCACACACTTTCACGTGTCCTTTCTTGGGTTTTATCTGGATGGCCAGAGAGCTGTCCTGGCACTGAGTTTCAGAGTTTCTGGTCTAAAAGGAACGAGTTGTCCACTTTCCAGGGTTGTCTGCTTTGGGGAAGCAGAGTTGTCATTCCTACCTCAATGAGGACTAGGGTCTTAGGTTCCCTCCACGAGGGTCATCCTGGCATTGTACGCATGAAGGCGCTCGCGCGCAGCCACTTGTGGTGGCCTGGGTTAGATAGTGACATTGAAGCTAAGGTGCACGCATGCCACCTTTGCCAATGCTCGCGCCCCGAAATGCCGCAAGCCCCTGTACATAGATGGGAGGAAACACAGTCGCCATGGTCGAGGGCGCACATTGACTACGCTGGGCCCTTTCAGGGTCAATTCTTCTTGGTCCTAGTTGATAGCCATTCAAAATGGCTTGAGGTTGTACCTGTATCTTCCACCACCACTGCAAAGTACTGAGGGGGATTTTTGCTGCACACGGGCTTCCAGATGTCCTCGTGTCTGACAACGGCCCTCAATTCACTTCTTCCGAATTCCAAGCTTTCTTACAGGCTAACATGATTCGTCACGCCACCTCTGCACCTTTCCACCCGTCCACCAACGGTATGGCTGAATGCATGGTTCGCATCACCAAGGACGCCTTGAAGAAAATTACCTACGGAGACTGGCATCACAGGTTGGCTGACTTCCTCCTTTCTTATCGCACTACACCGTCCACTTTTACGGGGAGGAGCCCAGCTGAACTTCATTGGGGGCACAAACTGACTACCAAGCTTGACAGGTTGCATCCGGATAGACTGCCTTCTTTTTACTCACGCCCCAGGGCACCGAGACAACTCCTTGTGGGTGCCCCGGTTTGGACTCGTAATTACGGGCCTGGTCATTCATGGGTCCCCACTTCTATATCCAGGGTCACAGGCTCTCTGTCTTACGAGAGGTCCCTGGACAAAGGTCGTGTCCTGCGTCGACACATCGACCAACTTCGCCCTAGACGGGACCTTCCTGCTGAGACTCCTGGGTCTTTTCCAGGGGGGGAGGGGGACCCCTTTGGGCAAGGGGAAGGGCATGGGCTGCTGCCCATTATCAATGAGGAAGCCACAAACGGCTCATCTCAAGATTCCGCGAGTGCTCCAAACAGGAATTTAAGGAGCCCAACTAGATATCAGGCATCAACGCCTACTCCAGTCAGGGAGGATACCCGGGAGCATCCCAATAAACCATTTCCCGCAAGAGAGCTGGCACACACTCCTTCTAGTTGGCCCGACACTACCCCTGTCCCTAGAAGGGGGCAAACATACAGGGAGGTGGTCGAGGAACCAAATCCCGACTACAACACCTCTGACTTCACTCAGGGGACAACTGAGTTTTGGGACAGTACTGAAAACCCCACAAGCCTGGGGACAGAACAGGAACCAGGGGACAGACAACCTCCTGACAGGTCTTGGATGGACCTTGGAGGTTCTACAGAATCGCCCAACAGTGACAGTCACTTAGAGGGGCCAGAGAGCCTGCAGCAAGGCAGGATAACCAGGTTAAACAAAGAAACAAGCCCTGGCCTGACGAGCCCGGTGGGCAAGCAAGCAGGCCAGGCATTGGAGCACAGTCCTTGGGAACCACCGAGGCAAAACAAGGGGGACAGGCACGCATCACCCCTCAGTCAAGGGGTACTTGGCAGGTACGCAGAAGTTAGGAGGTCACAGAGAGCCAGGAAATCTCCTAAGTATTTAGAAGATTTTGTAACTCTATTGGCAAAACAGAGTTAACAGAGGGAACAGAACACTTAGACTAATGGAAGCAAAAGTAATACCTGGCATTGGGTAGTATGGCACTACACTCGCAATGGGTTATGTGTTACTATGGCATGGTTAATAGTTTAAACCCGGGGGGAAGGGGTGTTATGTCCTGGGCCTGTGCAAGCAGGCTCGGGGCATTGCAAACAGTCCTGGGCAGGTGCAAGTTGCCCCGGGACCAGACAGGCTGTCGCCAGTACTTGTGCGCATGCGCAAGTGCTGGCGCGCCAAAAGTTGCAGATTGACCCGGGAATGGCCTATATAAGAGGCCAGGAGTTTTGGGCGTTGCTGTGTGTCTTCTAACTGTAAGCTGAACTAAGAATAAAGAAGTCTTGAGAACTACAACTGCTTCTCGTGTCTTGCCATTTCGCGAAGGACGCAACAACCTCCAAGGTCCCTTCCATCTCTATTCCGATTCTGATTCAGTGTAGTTAAGAAGTGATCAAATTCCAATTTGGTTGGAAATGTTATCAGAATCTAAATGTTGTGATTACTTTATATTCCATAAATAATTGTATTATCTGTTAAAACTAATTCTAAAAATGCATCATTCGGGGCTGTTGAATTACACAGGTTTTCAATGTTGGCAGACATGCTTTATTAAAAACAAAACAAAACAGAATTGAATTGTCTTTTTTTCCTTTTCTTTCCCTTAGTACTGGAAGCAATCCAAAACCATTATTTGCCTATTATTTGTTTAGTGGTCTGAAGAAGTACAACAGGTTTTTTTTTCAAAAACACACACTGTGACCTTTTTAATGAATTAACTTTCTGCAGAATGATGTATAACTAAGCATTTCCATCTGCCAAATATTTAACTGAACTACACTTGAACTTTTATTGAGCTATCATGTCACAGAGGATCAGGTCCTTGGGGTCTTTGCAAGGCTTTGAATTCAATGGATTCCTTAACTAAATCTCCTTGGATATCCTTGGGTGAAAGGAACTATGCTTTGGCCAAAGAACGGTTTATTTGGCCACATAATTCAATGTTCTTTTTTATTCCTCAGAGAATGGGACAGAGAATTGGCTTCCAAGAAAAAACCCAAACTCATCAATGCTCTTAGACGGTGTTTCTTCTGGAAATTTATGCTGTATGGAATAATACTGTATTTAGGGGTAAGTTTCCTTTTATTTCAGTTAACATATTGCAATATTATATTCTTTTGTAACCTGCCTAAGAAATTCTAAGCAGTGTATTTGTCTATGCAGATTCTCAGTCTGGAGTCATGCAATTCCCTTTTGTGACTTTCTGACAAGCAAAGTCAATGGGGAAGCCAGATTGACTTCACAATCATGTTACTGACTTAACACTGGCAGTGATTTTGTGGCAAAAAGTCATAAAATAAAGCAAAACTCACTTAACAAATATCTCACTTAGCAACAGACATTTTGGGCTTAATTGTGATTGTAAGTTGGGGACTACCTGTACATTTAAGCCAATTTTTATCGGAAGTGGGAAATTTGTGGAATACCAGAATTTGTGGAATTTCAAATATCCATCAGTCCTAGACAGGATATTGAAGTTCAAGGATATTGGAAACTGTAATCCTGTATTTGGAAGGCTACAAATTTTCTACCTCCTTTTTATAAAATATTAAAAATAAATGAATTATTTTCAGATATTTTACAGTATATCTTCCAGATATGTTCTTTTCTATGATATAATAGAAGGTAGGATTCTAAGAGTAGCATAATTTTAATCATTGCCATAATTTCATAATTATTTTATTTATCAAATGTATATGCCCATTACAAGGCAAGTTTTTTTTTTTAAAAAAAATTACCTTTAGGAAATGTACTGGAACTTATCAAATGGGAGCTTCTATTTTAAACAGAATTTATTGCATATCATTGAATAATTGAATTGCATTTTTCCAATAAAAGAAATAAATGGAAGATGAACCTACCCAAGAAAACATAGTTATACATACACTTTAGAATTATTTAATCATTAGAATTCATTTGTTCCTTGAATATAGATCCAATTTCTTCAGATTTAGTGGAGGTTCATATTGTCTAGATCATTTATTATCAGTATTAGCATCTATATACCCCATATGAATAACTTATTTTTTCTCTTACATTTGTGGGATGGAGAGGAGAAATTCCATGGGAAATAGATGATAGTTAGTTAGATAGATGATAGATGATAGATAGATAGATAGATAGATAGATAGATAGATAGATAGATATTCTAACTGAATTTTTTCATATAATATAGCCAAATCCTTCCATTGAAAAACTGTAATTTTTGTAATATACATTTGATCCTAGGTACATATAATTTATTAAATCTTATGCTGATACACAGACAACTGGAGGCTTAAAAATGTGAGACATACTTGTTGAGCATGCTGAAGATATGCTCTTACTCTTTTACCATATATAGAAAGAGATTGGAGAAAAATTTACAATGAATTAAGTTTTAGTTTCTAGATTGATAAAGAATTAGAAAGTTGGGATCATCCTTTTCCTAACAGTTAGAACAATTAACCAGTGGAACAACTTGCCTCCAGAAGCGGTGAATGCTCCAACACTGGACAGCCATTTGTCCAAAATGGTATAGGGTTTCCTTCCTGAGCAGTGGGTTGGACTAGATGACCTCCAACTTTATTATTATTATTATTATTATTATTATTATTATTATTATTATTATTATTACTATGGATCATCGCACAGTCAGCCAGATGTTCAGACTGGATTTGGCATTTTGTCTACCTATTGAGTCCTTACCCAGGACCTGGGATAGGCAGATGTGGATGTTTGATGGTATTACAGATATCGTCGCAGGATGGAAGCAGTTCCTAGTAAGGCCGTCTTTTGCAATTGACTAATAGCGAATTTGTCAATGCCACTAATAATAATAATAATAATTATTATTATTAGTGGCATTGACAAATTCGCTATTAGTCAATTGCAAAAGACGGCCTTACTAGGATTATTATTATTATTAGTGCTTATGTATGTATATATGTTTGTTAAGATAGTCACAAACATCCAGCATTAAAATCTGTTGTAAAATTGATGGAGACTTTGGTGCAGGAGCTTCAAAAAGTTGTCAACATCATTGAATCAGTGATTTTGCTTATGGGTTTCATGCTAAAATTATGTCTTTTAAAAATAATTTACAATTAAATTGAATTTTAAATAAAGTAAGTTATTTTGGTAGTGTTAAAATGTGATTCTAGGACTGTGTAAATATTGGTACTTTTTTTTGCTTTAGAATTTAAATATATCAAGCAAAGTGACGCTTGAAAAGATAAGTCAGAATTCTTTAACAAATTCAATGTTTGTCAACAACGTTCATAAAAATATTGCTTTTTGCTAGAGAGGGAATTTGCTTTCCTGAATTAGAATTATTCTTCAATCCAATTCAGAAGGTTCAAAAATAATTTTTTTCACTTAACTAAAGTTGTTTCTCACTGCCTTTTTTGTATTGTAGTGCAAGCTGCAGCAATATGGATAATAATATTTTCTTAAACTGCTTCATTTTATCCAGCATCTGGCTAGTGTATAGTATAAATTATCCTGATACTACTACTATTGTTATCTTTCACAAGTTATCTTTGACAAGTATAATGAAAATATAGTAAAGACTAATGATGTCAGGTGTGTCTACAATGATTTTAAAAGAAATTGCAATACACATTGTTGAAAGAAAAATCTTCATCAGGGTTCAGTCCAAGCTGAGAATAAACAAAATGGAGACTGCGTTAGAAAGAAGGTTCTTGTTTATTTAGGTGCCAGAAACTTCAGTGACAGCAGCATGTTTCTGGGGTGGCTGACCACATGGAGCTGAGATTGGTGGGTTTTATACCTTATTGGACTTTTGTATTTTGAGTTGTTCCTGTTCCTGTGGCATGAACTTTGACCTGAGGTTCAGTGTGCCATTTTTGTATTTTGATGGTGCTGGGTTAATCCTCTAAAGGTCATGTCTTTAGACTTTGGGTGGGGGATGTAGATTTTTGAGGGTCTTTGTCTTTCTAATCCCATCAGCTCCAAGCTTCCTGCTCCAGTCTTTCTGAAAAGATGATCAAATCTGCATTTCTACAGAGCTGGTTTCTGCATGGGGCAGAGAGACTTGGGGGGGGGGGTGATTTCTGCCTAAGATTTTTTATTATTCCTTTGGGAAAATATATTCTGCTTTTTTTAAATATCCCCCAAACTATTTCCTTCTCTGGGGGGGGGGGTGCAGCCTTCCTACAATATATTATATTCAGATTCTGCATTTTTAAAAGAAATCTTTAACAATTGTTAGTTTTGTTAGATCGATATCCTGGAGAGCTTGATTTCAGCTTGCTTGCAAATAGTACAGAAATTCTGTTTTTCAGATCATAAGAAAAGCAATAAGAGCAAGTATTGACACTATTATTTGCAAATAGTACAACTTTTTTCTTTGTTAATCGTTAAAGTGTATTATGTGTAGCCACTTCTTTTGTATTGTTGTAAAAATCTATAAATCACTTTGTAACAATAATCTGAAAACACATTGCTATCTTTGTATGGTATACACAACAAACAATAGTAAAAATACAAATTATAGTTCTACACACGTGCTATAACTCGTAAGTATAAGGACAGAGGAACAGAGACGTGATTTAATTTTTTTAGCCAACTGAAGAGGAAGTTAAGGATTTGGAGAATTCCATTACAACCTCTAGCATCATTAAATTATGTTATGTGAACTGGAATTTTTACCAATTGTGTTCTGTTTAAAGTCAGTCTGAAGCTTATTAAAATGAAGATTGTCGTCTTTCTCTTCATACTTATCCTTTTCCTATATGTTACATGGCTATAACATTTCAATTAATTTTTGTACCCCCTACCCCATCCTGCCCTTTGTACCTCCTGATCTGATGACAGTTTCTGTACAAGTCACAATGTTTTGTGACTCTATTTATTTCTGAAAAATGTTCTTTCCATTGTCAAGCAGTGAGTTTTAGTCACCAACTTTTTATTTTTGTCCTTTAACATTCTCATTGCATATGAGGTGTGTGTGTGTGTATGTGTGTTTTAAATGTTAAAGGACAAAAATAATGTCTCTCTCTGTGTGTGTATGTGTGTGTGTACAGGTTTTATTATGGTCTTGGTTGTAAACATGGATGCATTGACACACCTGCCCAATTCTTTTTTTTAATTGTTCTTTTATAAATATTCCTCCTTGTGTACTAAAAACATTGCTGTGTTGGTCAAACATAAGTCTGTTTTGTTTGTCTTTTTTCTAAAATTATATGTAAACATGAAAAACAATGTGAATACTTAAAACAGGAGCTATGTGATTCAGAGTGTCAATTTCAGTCCATTTCTGGAAAAAAAAACATATGAATATGAGTGTTTTCATGCTGACCCTTTAGAAAATTACTACACATAATAATAATAAATCAATTTACAATGCTGACCTCAGGTTATTTAAAAGACAGAAAACAAAGGGTACTATGACCCCACTTATAAATCCCGATGACATTCTTCCAATGTATTTTTTAACAAAATAATTTGTATGCTATATGATCATTTCAATAAAATTTCTAAAATTTCATTCGGAACTATAAACATAAAATTTTATTACTAAGATTTGCCATTCTTTTGTATATTTTAATAATGCTAAAGGATGCATTAAAGCTGGAATTTTTCCCATTTGTTTCAATTTTCATTTATATAGAGAGAATGAATTTATTAACAATAATCTATAAGTAAAGAGTCAGATATGATAATTACTAAAGATATATTAAATTATGATGAATATTTTCTAGAAGGAGATTCTTTTGGAGGAATGGGATTATTTTTGTTCCCTGCAACTAGATGGGGAATCCAACCCAAAATTACCACAATTCTTATTGTGGTGAACTTTAATACCCTTTAACAGACTTGTGATTGTAAGCAATATGATTTTTGTAATTATAGTCCTTTCAGTAATTCAGAGTGATAACTTCTATTTTCATTGTAGAAAAAAATTGCTTCATATTCAAGCTAGATCACCTAAAATATTCACTATTATCCTCCCCAATAATTCTCATTATCATTGTAAGACATTATTTTATTTATCAAACCAATGTATATAGCCACCCATCTTACAAACACAAACAGGTGACTTTAGAAAGTGTATAACAAATAATAGAATTCCATATGTATATATATAATTCTTTATAACCTTAAAAAAATTATTCTATAATAAAGAGCAGGCTAGAAGATGCTTCCTTTTCAACATCTTTCTAGTCTACTCTTTATTATGGAATAAATAATTTTATTCAGCAAGATATTGATCATAAGGCTATTAAAAGGGACAATATTATATGCTACAGAATATTGAATAGTTCTGCAACTTTGCATTCATTAGTTCCAAAAACAGAGATATGGATAGGAATGTTCCCTGAGCCAAAAGACAAATGTTACTTTTTCAAAAAACATTAGAAACGTCCCCTGTAATTCCATAAATAGGAACAAATCAGGCTAACTGCTGAATTTTATTTTCTTACTTCCTCTTCCATTCTTGAGGGAAGTTAGTAGTTTAGGAAGCATAATATAGTCTGTGACATGCGTTCATTTTGCCCACTGCTAAGCACCACCTCATTATCTGAAGAAAAGGTTATAATTTCTCATGCTCAAATATGCTGAATAGATAAGTGTCATATGCAGTAGCTATTCAGAAAAACTGACAAAAATATCTGCCTTTTTTTTTTAACTACAGGAAGTTACTAAATCCGTGCAGCCTCTTTTACTCGGAAGAATAATTGCTTCTTATGATCCTTCTAATTCACTCGAACGATCAATAGCTTACTATTTAGCCATAGGACTCTGTCTTCTCTTCATTGTACGAATGTTGCTTCTCCACCCAGCAATATTTGGCCTTCATCACATTGGAATGCAAATAAGGATAGCCATGTTTAGCTTAATTTATAAAAAGGTATGTTTCCTATTTTGGTTAAATGAAATTCAAGGGTAATTAAACTGCATAGGAGATTGATAATAACATACTGTGGCCTCATGTTGCTACAGTAATGAAAGCATACTGTGGCAAGAAGTATTTCTTTTTTGATGATCTACACTTAGTTTATTGTGCAATATCAGCAGAGGACATCTTAATATTTAGCTTTCCTGCCCGAGCAGGGGGTTGGACTAGATGACCTCCAAGGTCCCTTCCAACTTTACTACTATTACTATAAGCTATATGACCATCATCCAACTTCCTACTTGTGAATAGAATGAAGTCATCAGAGCAATAAGAACTAATATGCTAGGAAAGAAGGTAGCTAATGAGCAAAGAATGACAAAATTAATTTACCATTACATATAAACTATCCTATTGCATAACCCTAAAACAAAAAAACCCTGTATTTGTGTTCAGATAATTTCTTACAAATGTAATAAAGTGTGAAAAGAATCTAAATTGAAATAAAAACAGAGTCTCCAATCTAATTATTGCATCTACTATAAACGTATTTATTATAAAATCTACCTATCCCTTTTCCATTCAGGCTCCTTAAATAGATGCACAATAAATAATAATACATTTACATTTACAAGCACAAAATATAAATTTCAATAATTTGGAAATAAAAAAACTGGCCTCAGTTTACTCTCCAATACATAACTGGAAAGTATGGTTTAAAAAGAAGATGAATTTTGGTTTAAAATAAAGTGCAAATCAGAGTTAATCACTTCAGATGCAATTTCTTGCATGGTTCTTGCAAACTGAAGAGGGAATCAGAGTGAACAAGTAGGGGTAGGATATTTGTGAGTCTGGCACTTTAATTGTACTTCAAAGATATTTAACTCTTTTTTAAAAAAACAAGTCCCAATGAAATAGCTTTTACTTCATCCCCAGATTATAAGGCCACCTAACTTTAACTGATATGATGCTCAAATGTTGTTTTCAATTTCCTCCTGGCAAGAGCTTCATGCTATTCATGATTTGTAGTTCTTAGGTGGTAATTTGTAATGGCACACTCAGGGTCTATTGAAAATTTTTTGTAGAGTAAACCCTACTGAATATTGTGAGTATTTATGAGTAATCATGTTGTAGATGAAATAAAGTGTATTTGTAATAAAACATAAAAATTATATTGCAGTGTTAGCATCCACTGATATTGTTTTTATTTCTGTTTGTGCTATTATATGCGATTGGTTGGTAAACTTCTTTTGTTCTGTTTTACAGATTTTAAAACTGTCAAGCAGAGTCCTAGATAACATAAGTACTGGACAACTTGTTAGCCTCCTTTCAAACAATCTGAACAAATTTGATGAAGTATGTTGGTAATCATGTGTTTGTTATATTTCTTTGAAGGAGAAGGAATTGATTCCAATCCATTATAATGTGCTTTACACTACTAGAATTAAAGTAAATTCTATGCTATGGATAGATATGCTAGTGAATAGTCCTAAGCGCAGGGCTTTTTTTGTCATAGAACGCCCAGAACAGAGTTCTGGCACCTTTTTTGGATGGAACCTTGTAGGGTAGGCAAGGCGGGTTGTATGATGTGTGTGAGTTCCAGCACCTTTTTTTTTTTAGAAAAAAATCACTGCCTAATTATAAAAAGCAGAACAAAACAACAATCAAAATATTTTAAAAATGCTATTATGTATGGTAACAATTCACTTGCCTGAATTTTTGGATCCAAGTTATCCAAATGGTATTACATTATTCTTTGCTATTTGAAGTGGCTTCTTAAGCTATTAATAAACTCTGAGAATAGGATACTGTATATACTGTAATACTAAATCCATAACATTTATCTCTTTTGGATATATCTATATATCTACCTTGTGATGTTTTTAGAGACAAAATAGGCATTGCAACTGTGGTCCCATTATTCTGATTAAATATGAGAAGATGGCTTAAAAGATCAGTGGCATAGTGGAAGACACTACTACTGGTAATAGACAGAGAGAGGTTAATATCAAGAGAGGAAACTTTTAAGGATATGGCCACTATCTCCACTACTTTTCGCCATTGCACTGACTCCTCTATCAACAATACTGAACAGGTCGTGGCTATCAAACATCAAAAACATCTGCCAGCCTATTCCACTGCTTTTACATGGGTGATCAGAAGCTGCATGGCAAAACACCATCTGAAATGGAATAGCTGCTCAACACTGCTGAATATACAGCCAATATATTTCAATGGAGTTTGGATTGGACAAACATGCCACTCTTACCAGCTTTCATGTTGCTTTCTAAGTATAGTTTCTTTGTGCTTTCATTGTGATTTTTTTTTTAATTTCAGGGTCTGGCCTTGGCTCATTTTGTATGGATTGCACCTTTACAAGTTATGCTGCTGATGGGGCTTCTTTGGGAGATGTTGCAGGCATCAGCATTTTGTGGGCTTGGATTCTTGATTCTTGTCGTCCTTTTTCAAGCCTGGCTAGGACAAATGATGATGAAATACAGGTGACAAAGCAGTTATGGGTAGTTTTCTCAAATAATGGTAATCCTCAAACTTACCTGAATTTCAGCCACTTAGCATGGCAACCCTGATAATCCCTGTTACCATCTTTAACTGAATTCCACTAGTTAACTGAGGCCCCCTTGTAATCTAATCTAGTCCCTCCCAGCCCCAAACCTTAATTTTAATAAGATAAAGGACCTCTTTCCCTGCAGTTCTGCCCAACTGCCTTGCCCCCTTCCATTTCTGCCCTTTTGGCCACCCTGCATCCTGCCTTGTATGCAGGCAAGCAACCCTCTTTTGACTCTGGGGCCACGAGAAGCCCTTGATCTGTAGCATGGCACGAAGATGCAGCAACTCCAGGAAGCTCCAGCTGCACCAGCAGCATGGTGCAAAGCTCAGCCACCCCAGGTAATCCCAGCCATAGTCATCCTCACCACTCTGCACTCTGATGCCCCTGCACTTTGCTGCCACAGCTGGCTTTTGCTGTCTTCTAGCTCTCGCTGCTGCTGAGGCATGCCTCACCCAGGCCCTTCATGAATCAGTTGCTGGCTACATCAGACCATCTCTCCCAGGTCTCCTGAGGATCCCTGTGTGTAACCTTGCAAAGAAAGCCTCACACAGCCAGAAGATGCCTCACGAAAGGCCATGCCATGTATACCTGGTCAGCAATGGGAGAAAGAGGATTGTAAAAGTTCAGCAAGGGCAACAGAGACTGCAGCATGGAGGCTGCCAAAAGGGCATAGATGGGGGGAGATAGTGGAGTAGGGAAACTTGAAGTACTGAAGCAGTCGTAAGTGTAAGCAGGCTACCAAGGGCCTGAATTTTGATCACGTGACCACATGGATGCTGCAATGCTCATAACTTTAAGGATTTAATCCCTTGTTTCAGCATCATTGTTAACTTTGAACTGTTACTGAATAAATGCCGTAATAAGGTTGTAGAGAGCTTCTTAAATAAAGAAGCCATAAAACTACCTTCAACACGGAGCAGAAAAATATAGGCAGAAGTCATATAGCTTATGGTTGTGGGCAAGCCATGCGTAATTGGTGGCCATAATGATAAGGGAAGAAGCATCTTAGAGTTTCTTCAGCAGCTGAACATTTTGTCCTATTGTATTAGCCTGACCAAGAATATTTGGAACATTAACTCTGTTTCATGGGCAACACATTATATATATTACACATAACCTATATGTAATTTATATACGTATAATTAAGGAATAATATCAAACAAGTGGTCCTGTCTTGACATGATACAGTATATCTTCCTTTGCCTTGATTTCAGTAGCTATGCTTTGAGAAGCTGGAAGTGGTTGAAATAAAGAACAAAATTTGGTTAAGTGGGCAACTCTTTGATTCCTAAGAACTATACATAACCTTTTGTGGGGCAAAAAGACTTAATCCCATAAAGGAAGTGTTATGGCACAGGCAGGAAGAACAGAAGTAACAATAGTTGACAATTCCCCCCCCCCCATCTTTAAAAAAAATTAAGTTAGGCCTACTTTAGGGCTTACACTATTCTTTACATTGCTTTTTCAGGTTCCAAATGGCAAGGAGCATGGGTGATTGCCTGTAGGACTGTGCTATAAGAAACTTCCCCTTATGTACAACAAAACTTATATTTGTACTACTCTTATTTGCTATTTCCACATGGAGTTCAATATATTCCTAAATGTTTATTGTTACATGTTCAGAAAAAAGTTTCATAGACTCAATGGAAATTTATTCCAGGGCAGTGGAGCAATACACACACACACACACACACACACACTGTGCTAGTGTTTTTACATATATACATAATGCTACTGTTCTCAAATGATTGATTTTCAGCTTTGTATTTTGCATTGATTTTTACATAATGGCACATCTATACAGTGCAGCTTTCTAAAAGTATTGAAGAATTGTTTGAACAGTATCATATGACATTTTAAGTATTTTAAGAACTTGTTACCAGAATGACAAAAAAGTACAATCTTCTGTACACTTCTGGTTTATAGCATGAATAGAACTTTATTGATAGAATATTGTGTGCAGTGCTTACCAGATTTTCAGTATGATGAGTATTAAATATACAACATAATTATCTACAGAGATCAGCGAGCTGGAAAGATCAACGAAAGACTTGTAATTACCTCAGAAATGATAGATAATATACAATCAGTGAAGGCTTATTGTTGGGAAGATGCAATGGAAAATATGGTTGAAAGTCTGCGACAGTAAGTATTTATATTTGTCTATCTTACATGCATGGCATATATGTTGTGTAACCCAACAATGAGATAAAAGTTTAGTTTGTAAGATAATAATTGTCATTATATCCTGATTTTAATAAAACTGTTGAGTCATGCTGATCCAAACAACTATTTTTACCTGCTGTGCTGTGCTGTGCTGTCTTTGTCTATGTTATATGAATAAGATCTTTGTAAAAATCATTTTCCCCAGGAATCATACCTGGTTCTTATATTTTTATCTGGAAATCAACCATATAATAGAAATCATCTTTCAATAGGTCATTTAGATCAGCCTCCCCAACCTTTGCAGTTTGGTGGCCTGACTGGAGGGGGGGGGGAGGGGAACCAGAGTGTGTGAATGGCAGGCTGTTTTTTTTAATTTGACAGGATTTTTATTTTTAAAAGGAGATCAAATGTCAATGAAGTAGAAAATAATCATTTGTTCATATTCCTGTCTAATTCTACCTCTGTGCTGAAATATTTAGACAAACAATAAAAGTCCATATTTGTGAATAGGAATTTTTCTCAGTCTTTATATCTGGGACTAGATTACTGGCTGTTTAGAATTATTTTATGAGTCATTTTCATAAATATTATATGATTACTCTATATTTTCCTTAATAAATAATTTATTATTTGTTTGGCAGAAAATGATGATAATAATGATGATAATAGAGTTGGAAGGGACCTTGGAGATCTTCTAGTCCAACCCCCTGCTCAGGCAGGAAACCCTATACCATTTCAAACAAATGGTTGTCCAGTCTCTTATAAACTTCCAATGTTGGAGCATTCACAACTTCTGGAGGCAGGTTGTTCCACTGATTAATTGTTCTGTCAGGAAATTTCTCCTTAGTTCTAGGTTGCTTCTCTCCTTAATTAGTTTCCATCCATTGCTTCTTGTCCTGCCTTCAGGTGCTTATTGTAGAACTGGGTGTGCCATTATATTCTGTTTTTTAAAAGAAAACTTGGAGACCGTGTCTGGTACACAGTGTACGAATTATAAATAATAACTGCAGTTCAAATTTAGTAGGAACTATACTTCTTTAGAAAATAGAAAGAATGCTAAAATTACAACTAGCTCATATAAATCTTCTAAGGTAAAAGAAATTCAATCTAATTTGAAGATCCTGTATACCTTGAAAGTGAAAGAAATGAAAGGAAGTCAGAATAGAAATAGAAAAGTATTGGCAGTGAGGTTCTAACTGATATTTCTCAAAAATATTTTAATAGGTTTATACATTGTCGGTATTAAATTGCTTTTTTAAAAAATAAAATAAAATCAAAGTAATACCCATTTCTGATTTTCATTCATTAAAATGCCAGTCTCTTGTTTCAGATTTGTATTGTATTTAACTTTCTCATTTACTTTTTCAAAATTGTCCATGAATTTATACCTTAACTGTTTCACCTGTTAATCAGATGATTATTTCAATACTAAAGATTTTTGTTGGAAGAGTGTCCAACTGATTTTTCATGTAATACTAGAAAAGTATAAAATTTCTGACAAGGAACTAATTAGAGCGTGGTGGCACAGTGGTTAGAATGCAGTATTGCAGGCTAACTCTGTTCACATTGCCAGGAATTCGATTGCTTTGATCCTGATTGGCTCATGGTTGACTTAGCCTCCTTCCATCCTTCTTTTTTTTTTTTTTCCCCAAAACAATTTTTATTAGTTTTCCATTTTACACCAACACAGCTTAAGAACCCACGTGGAAATGTGGTGATCCATTTTTTGAAAACAAACAATAATATAGTAAATATATACCCATTATTTCTTAAGTATTTCCCTCTCTATATAGAATATTATAATCAGATTAGTACATTTTCATTGAATTCATTCATTACTATGTCTAACCATCAACTACATTAATCAATAAAAAAATTAATCTATAAAAACCTATATATCTTCTCACATTTAACTTAGGCTTAGTGAACTCCATTTATTTAAAGACATTATAATCAAGTCAATATCTAAAACGAATTCATTCACTAATATAACATTTCATCCAAATCATATAATTAAAAATAGACTAACATTCTCTATCTATTTATATTGTTATAGACTCATTAAAACCTTTCTAAAACAAATTTTCATTGAATATTTCACTCTATATAAATTTCATTAATCAATAAAAGTTTACAAATTCATTCCATCCTTCTGAGCTTGGTACAATGAGGACCCAGATTGGTGGGGGCAATAAGCTGAATCTGTAAACCACTTAGAGAGTGCTGTAAAGCACTGTGAAGGAGCATATAAGTCAAAGTGCTATTGCTGTTTACAGTAACAATAATACTACATTTACAAGACTTATTTCTCTCCATTGAAATCCAATAAAAATCATTTAATTACACCTGGTTTATGCATAATCTTGAGGCAAAGAATTCCCCACTCCTATCTTATCATGTTCCAAATATCAACAGTGAATTTGATTTGTTATCTTTGGTCAGATATTTAGTTCTGCATTTTTTCCTCCTAAAACTCTTCATAGTCTGCTTTAGTGTTTGACTGCTTATATCAACTCCAAGGCTACTAAAATCTCTGGGGAAAGAGCTTTTCTTCTCAATTCAACCTTCAACATGATGCATGTTCTTTGAATAATTAACTTCCTATTGCTACAGCATTCTGCTGGAGTGAAGGGTGCTTTAAAACAAAATCTACTGCTTTTTCTTTATTATCTCACTGTACATATTTCTGTCTGGACTTATGTTAATAAGGAGCTTTATTGTTTCCTGAACTGTTGCACATAAGCCCTTGCATTCTAACAACTCAATGGGCAGAAATTTACTGTACTTTCGTTCTCCAGTTAATATGTATTTCAAGACTCCTTTTTCTAGAAGTAATGCAAATTCAAAATGCTTGAATTATTTTATTTGGCAGTATTTAGTTTGAAATCTTTAGATCTTTTTCAAAGCCATGTTAGAGATAAAGTGAAATAAATTGTAAGACACACAAAAGGGAAGTTGCTTTCATTGTTCTTGTTTCTTTCATAGTGTGTGTTTATCACTCTTTCTTAGCACAGACATACCCATATTTACATAGAGAAAAGAATTATTCTGGCCCTACCCATACATTCTTTGACTTACATAGTTTTATGAAATCCCTAGCATTTTGACAGCAAAAGAGATGCAGTAACAAATATAATATGTCATAACTTGCCAACTAGATCTAATGTTGGTTTCAATGTAATTTCAAGTTGTAGAACTTCACTTTGCCTTAGAAAGTACAGTGTTGTTGTAGCAGTAAGCCCTGTATTTCAGTTAAAATAGTGATTCATGAAAACTATAATATTGTAGTAAATTCTTTGAATTTAAAATTCCCACCTAGCTCTGAAGCTCACTGGACAATCTTTTTGTCAGTCTCTGTTACTCAGTTTAATTGTTATGAATAAAAAGAGTGAACTTGGGTATTGAGAATTGTTATATGCCATCCTGAGGTGAGATGCACATTAAGTAAAATACAATTTGATGAAAGATTGGTAGCTGCATTTTCAACACAGTTCCAATACACATTCCAAACTAGTATAACTTTTAAAACTTGCTTATTTGCATTCATAATTGTTTCATATTTTAGAGTTATGCCATTCTAGATGTAGAGTTTCTATTTTTGTATTAGATTTTCAGTTTTTGCCTATCATTTTACAGAAGTGAACTGAAGCTGACCCGAAAAGCTGCATATGTGAGATACTTCAATAGTTCAGCTTTCTTCTTCTCTGGTTTTTTTGTGGTATTTTTGGCTGTCCTTCCATATGCACTGAGCCATGGAATTATTCTTAGAAAAATATTTACTACCATATCATACTGCATTGTTCTTCGAATGACAGTCACTAGACAGTTCCCTTGGGCAGTGCAGACATGGTATGATTCTCTTGGAGCAATAAACAAGATACAGGTATAGTATCTAAATCTAATTCCATGCAAGATATAATTTATTCTTTTGTGGTGTCTTATCTTGCCAATTTATCATACAAAATATATTAGGGTATTATTTTACCAATTTTTATTAAATGCTATTTGGGAAACCAGTTTTAACTTAACAGGCAGAAATTCCACCAGGAGGGTGTTCCAGATGATGTGGGTAGTGATGGAAAAAGCCCAGATCTGAGGCTTCATCAGATGACAGTACTGGATTTGGAGAGAGTTGATAGTATATGGCTGGATGGGTAAATGATTGCCAGAGGAGATGGTGTCTTGGATAACTAGGGTTGGAATGTTGTAGGCAGTGCTTTTTTTCTAAAAAAAAAAAAAAAAAAAGGTGCTGGAACTAACACACGTCATACAACCTGCCTTGCCTACTCTACAAGGTTCCATCTAAAAAAGGTGCTGGAACTCCGTTCTGGGCGTTCTATGAGAAAAAAAGCCCTGGTTGTAGATGACAAATAGCACCTTGAATCATATTCAGAAGCCCATAGGCAACCAATTGATCTCCCAAAGCTGAAGGTCACATAAGTATATCAGGGTACGCCCATTATCATATTATTTCACAGATGGATCCTAGAGCCTGCCTACTCCATCAGTTATATCAGAGTAGATATATTACAGGTCTTTTCTGTGGAACTGTCATTTAGTGGGAACCAGCCAGCATGTTTATATTTTTCTAGTGCATGCCCTATGATGCAGCCTCATCTCTGGATTCAGATGGCTTCAACCCTGTCGGTCTTCTGGAAAGTTTTGAAGACTAGTTCAAATGCAGAGATCATTATGCTAGTCAAGATCAGTACTTGTGGCCTGTTCTGTGTTTTGGGAGCACTTGGTGGGGAACTTTGGCTGATGTTAAATTCTCTGTTATTTCATTTAATTAATAGTGTGATATTTTATGCATGTGTTTTGTTAACTGCCCAGAGTTATTTCGTTAAGTTAGGCAGCCATATAAATTTGTTAAGGAAAAATATATATATTGCTGCCTATGCTGCCCCTTTTCATTCCAATGATAGCTTCTTTATAGAAACATAGAAAAGATATATAGAGAGAGCAGAAAAGATATAGTGGTTCATTGAGTCTGCCCTTTGAGTTTTTAATTTTTTTTTAATTTTTGTCACATGATAGGCATGTGTTTATCTCAAGAGTGTTTAAACTCAGATGATTGACCCACCACCGCTGCTAGAAGTTGATTCCAAGCCTCCACTACTCTTTCTGTGATAAAACTTTCTAACATTACTTTTGAGCCTCCCACCTGTCAGTTGAAGTTATTCATTTTTGCTTAATATTAAAAATGCTGCCTTCTAAAGCAGTGGTTCTCAACCTGTGGGTCGGGACCCCATTTGGGGTCGAATGACCATTTCACGGGGGTCGCCAAACAACGCAGTCCGCCATTTTTTCCCCTTTTCCTTAGCTGTGCTACTCCCTTTTATTCTATTGGCTTTCAAAAGCCAATAGGAATTGTCCAGGCTGTCTCTGCCCTGCTGAGCCTGCCAAAAGTCCCATTCTGCAAACGGTGCTGCACCAGTTGAGTAGTCCTCAACTTACGACCGGTTGGGGGTCACGGCATTAAAAAGGTTGAGAACCACTGTTCTAAAGCCTTATTCATACCCTTAATATATTTAAAGATTTCAATCATGTCCCCCCTTTCCCTTGTTCTTCAAGGGTAGCCCCAAGTAGAGCACATTACAATAGTCCAACTATCGTAATAGGAAGCGACAATGGCATAGATTGAGTTAATAGAGGTGATTTTGGCTGGTTCATATTTTTGACTTAAGAAGTAATAAGAATCCAAATATAATAAGGATATCTTTTTTCAATATTAAAATATATTGCTTGACATTTTCCCACCATATCATGTCACAGCTTTCAATATACATTTTCATTGGAATAGATAGGCTATTTATAGTCATTCATTTCCATCTTTTAATTAACATTATTTGGTATGAGAACAGGAAAATAAAAAGGACCATTTAATGTCCAAAGTTAAGTATATTGTATTACATTTGTCTTTAAAACTCTCACAATTAAATTTACAGGATTTTTTGCAAAAAGAAGAATACAAAACACTGGAATATAATTTAACAACCACAGGCCTTGAACTGGATAAAGTAACAGCTTTTTGGGATGAGGTAATACTACAATTTGATTATTGTTGCATGAAACCATGCCACAATCTAGGAAGGCTGACTGTACTCACAGAGTAGCTTTACCCTTAAAATATGGCAACATTTAATGGCTTTGGCAATTATATAAAAATGGACAGATTAGTAGGTAGTAGCAGTTGGAGGTACTTCAGCTAGTTCATTATTACTGAAATAAAATGATTTGCATTCTGACAATGCTAATAAGTAGCATTTTTGTTATTATATATGCAAACCTCTCCATGTCAGGGTATAAGATGAATACTTCCCTTATGGTTATTATAACAAACAAAATAAATCCATGGCTATAGCTTCTTTACTGATGTTGCACTGGTTCTACCCAAAAACCTAAGATGTCATAAAATATTGGCATTGTATTATTTTTATTATTGTTGTTATTAGTCAGTCTTGTGTTATATTCCTTATAATACTTTTGAGTACAGTAATATATCCAATTAACTATGTCTATGCAATATTTTCATCAAAAGAAGAATCAGTTTGATGTAGTGGTTAAGGCTCTGGCTTAGAAACCAGAAGACCGTGAATTCTATTTCTATTTCCCATGAAAGTCAGCTGGGAAACTTTGGACCAGCCTCTCTCTCTCTCTCACCTACATAATTGTGGGGAAAATAGGGGGAGGAAGGAGTATTATATATCTTTGCTGTCTTGAGTTACTTATAATGTAATAAAGGTGAGATAAAATCTAACAAATAAATAACATTGATTTATGGAAAAGATTAATAAAATTTATTTTAATTCACAATTTACATCAAATCATAATTCTGGATAATGCTGGAAAGGGAAATTTGATCAACCTTGATCATAATTAAATATATGTGTGTGTTTTAAAATACTAAAAATGAGAATCCTGGGCATTATGCTAACAAATAAAAGAAAAAACGAACACCAGGATATAATAAACCAGCATGTTTAATATAAACAAGTCTGTGGTTAAGAAGAGTCACTAAGCTTTCGTCTGGCCAAAAAACTGCCAGCGTCATCAGAGTTAGAATAGCAGGAGATTGGGAAGGCAGCTCATATAGCCTCCTGCCTCTGCACCCGGCTCCTTGAGCGCGTTATCGACCCTGTATTAATCCTTATCTCACCGAGTTGTTCCGCATCAGGCAAACTGTCTTTGACTCCACTGGTTGTTTTACGATCCTCAAGTGCTCTTTTTGAGCATGTGCAAGCACTTGGAGGACGGCTGTCAATCCGTCCCTGTGCCCAGTCCCCCTCCCTTCCAGGGACATTATCCTCCCCCACTCCCAAGGCCATTGTCGTAATTCCTCTGCCCCAGTCTGCAACAAGCAGCTGTTCCGGCATTCCTGCTCTCTGTCTTCCCCCTCCCTCCCCTTCCTTCCAGATTGCCTCAGCGCTTCCATCCCTGGCTTAGGGCCATTTGGTCCATCATCTCAGTCCATGTGAGTCATGGTCATCCCATCTATAGAGCCATCGTCCCAATTATGTAAAACGCTGTCATCTTCTTCCTTGGAGATCGTGTCTGTCTCATCCATCATTCTACCACTCCAGTCCTGCCAAGGAAGAGTTAAATGTCTTCTCAGTAGGCCGTGGTGCTGTTGTTCCCATCTCCTAAGCGTCTGGTAGGCCGGCACAAGGTCTATATGCCGGTTGATAGAATTTTCATTAGAGAGCCAGACTCCCTTGAGTAGGTGGCCACTCTTGGTAATCTCACGAGCTATAACCTCTGCATTAGCCAGATCGAAAGTGTGGCCAGAGCTGGAAATATGAGCCCACACTTGTGAGCATTGCTCCTGCCTTCTAATAGCCAGTTCATGTTCATGAAACCTGGTCCTCAGTCTTTTAGTGGTTTCCCCAATGTAATTGCTTGCACAGTCCTTGCAATTAATTCTGTAAACCACAGATGATCTTTGACCGTTGGGGAGCGGTTCTTTTGGATGCGTGACCTTGGTCCTAAGGGTGTACTCGGGCCTGTGGGCAACGCTCACATTGTAGGGGGCCAACAGCCATGCCATGGCCTCGGAGACACCATGAATATAAGGGAGGGTTGTTCGTGTGGCTGGCATTGCTGTCCCATTGGAGCGTGAGTCTCTATGATTTTGATGTGGTCTACTACTATGTGTGTCTCAGAAACCCCATGGGATAGCCATTGTGCATGAAGATGTGATGGAGATTTTTTTCTCCTCGGCTTTAGCCCTGCCTGGGGCTAAATGGGAATTAACCCATTTAAACAGCATCCGGATGTAGCTGATTTTATGTGCTACTGGGTAGTTGCTATTATAATGTAGCATTCTGTCTGTATGGGTGGGTTTGCGATATACAGACGTGCACAATGTGCCATTAGGGCGTCAGCTGTCAGTACATCCAGAAAGGCAAGACTGCCTTGGATCTCTTCTTCTGTGGTGAAGCAGATATCTGGATATACTGAGTTCAGTTCCTCCAAGAATTTGGCGCTATCCTGTCTTTTGACAATCACATAGCGTGCCCAAAATTTTGGGCGGTACCTAGACATTACTATTGACTCTAGCCACTGAAGAACTGCCTCAGCAATAATGCCTGAGATGAGGGATCCCATTGGCGTCCCTTTTATTTGTTCATATACTATGCCCCGAAAGATGAAGTATGTCTTCAGGCACAGGGTTAGCAACTGTATTAAATCATTGGTATGGAAAGAGTCCTTATGTTGCTCAGGCCCCTCTTGTAGGAGGTCCCTTATTGCCATGACCGCCAGATCTTGGGGGATAGAGGTAAAGAGTGAGGTAACGTCAAATGATATCATTACCTCATCTTTCTCTATATTAGGGGCTTTACTCTCTCCAGAAACTCCTCAGCCGATTTCACAGTGGTCTCATTGTTGTCGACCAAGTGGCTGATGCGACCGCTAAGCCATTTGGTTAGTCCCAAAGTGGGTGTGCCCCTGAAGGACACAATTGGTCATAGGGGGACCCCCTCTTTGTGTACCTTCGGGAGACCATAGAACCTAGCCATGGCCGCGTCGCTGGGATGTATCCTCCTCAATGTGTCGTCATTGATTTTACACCGACGTTTGCGGTTGCTAAGTACCTTATTGATGCGGTTTGTGTGTGTTGTCATTGGATCTTTAGTGATGACTCTGTAGGCCATAGTGTCATTAAGTAATGCCTGGGCTTTGTCAAAATACGCTGATCTGTCCATAACCACAGTTGCCCTGCCCTTGTCAGCTGGGAGTATGACAATAGTGTTGTTCTTTTTTAGTTGTTCCAGGGCCTTTTCCTCCTCTCTAGGGAGCACCTGATGCCATTTATGGTTAATCAGCAGGCTGGTAACCCGCTGTCTGATTGTGTTTCTGACCACGTCATTGGCCTCCATGCATTGGATGGTAGGCTCTAAAGATGCCACGAAGTCAATTGCCCATGCATCCGTCAGGTTGTGGCCTGCATCCTGTTCTAAGAGGGAAATCTGTTCCTGGGTCAGGGGTTTGGAGGACAGATTGTGGACTAGCTTAATAGTATGCCCACCATTATCTGGCACCTGTAAGATATCCATTTTACATTGGAGTGCCATTGCTTTTTGCCGACTCGCTCTTACCATGGCCTGGTGGACCTGTTGGTGGAGTGCCTGATAATGTTGATGTGTCAGTGTGGCATGGCAGCATTCACGATGTTCTTGGATTCCTACCATCCACATTCCTATGCACCTATGATGTTTGTTGATTAAAGCGCGCATGGTACAATGCTGGAATTGACGGGTAATCCTCTGGCACTCTGCCGAGTGTACGAGGGGTTTTCTTCGTAATGACTTGGGGTGTAGATCTCCTCGGAGGCACTCATGAAGAAAAGCCAGTTTATGGTAGCCAGTGGATATGTGCCGTATGAGCTTCTCCCATCTCCTGGCGTGGAGCAACACAGCTCACTCATAATTGTCTTTTAAAATACTAAAAATGCGAATCCTGGGCATTATACTAACAAATAAAAGAAAAAATGAACACCAGGATATAATAAACCAGCCTGTTTAATATAAACAAGCCTGTGGTTAAGAAGAGTCACTAAGCTTTCGTCCGGCCAAAAAACTGCCAGCGTCATCAGAGTTAGAATAGCAGGAGATTGGGGGAAGATAATGGCCCTGGGAGGGAGGGGGACTGGGCGCAGGGACAGATTGAAGCCGCCCTCCAAGTGCTTGCACACGCTCAAAAAGAGCACTTGAGGATCGTAAAACAACCAGTGGAGTCAAAGACAGTTTGCCTGATGAGGAACAACTCAGTGAGATAAGGATTAACACAATCAACGGGCCGATGACGCGCTCAAGGAGCCGGGTGCAGAGGCAGGAGGCTATATGAGCTGCCTTCCCAATCTCCTGCTATTCTAACTCTGATGACGCTGGCAGTTTTTTGGCCGGATGAAAGCTTAGTGACTCTTCTTAACCACAGGCTTGTTTATATTAAACAGGCTGGTTTATTATATCCTGGTGTTCGTTTTTTCTTGTATGTATGTATGTATGTATGTATGTATGTATGTATGTATGTAAACAAATAAAAGAAAAAACGAACACCAGGATATAATATATATTTGTTTTCATAGATTTTCACGGGTACAGGTATGCAGGTCTTGGCGTATTCGGGTCTTTTTCCGGGTAAGATTGAGAGTATCTTGGCGACGTTTCGATAAGGTCCCACTTGTCATCTTCAGGCTGGGGTCTTCGGCTTCGTGCTTGTGCGAGCAAAGTGTGATCGGAGCTGCCGTCTCTCTATTTATAAAGAGACGACAGCTCCGATCACATTTTGCTCGCACAAGCACGAAGCCGAAGACCCCAGCCTGAAGATGACGAGTGGGACCTCATCGAAACGTCGCCAAGATACTCTCAATCCTACACGGGAAAAGACCCAAATATGCCAAGACCCGCATATATATATATATATATATATATATATATATATATATATATATATATATATATATATATATATGTTTTCTGAGGTTTTCGCGGGTATTTGTATATAGGTCTTTGGTTGTTCGGGTTTTCTCCCGCGTAAAATTGGAAGTGTCTTGGCGACGTTTCGACGAAGTCACATTCGTCATCTTCAGGCTGGTGTTTTTAGCTTCTTGCTTTGAGCAGCAATGTGTGGTTTTAGCTGTTTCTTCCTTTTAACTGCCAGTGAGGGTATGAACTGATTGGATGGGAGCTTTGCTGTGTTCTGATTGGGTGGATGTGTTCTGAATGGTTAGGGGCTTGGCTGTACTCTGATTGGCTGGGGGAGTGTTCTGTTTGGTTGTGCTCAGGTTATCTGAGTTGCAGAGGGGTTTAAGATTTTGGGTAGGGAGTCGTTTGTCAATAAGGGCGGGTTTCCAAATGGCTGGTAGGCGGGAGGTATCATCTCGCTTGTTCATGCTGTGTGGGCGTTTTTCTATCTCGATGGCTTCTCTGATTATTCTGTTATTAAAATGTTCACTTTTGGCAATGGTTCTGGTATTTTTAAAGTCAATTTCATGTCCTGTGGCTTTAAGGTGTTGGACCAGGGAAGATGTTGGTTCCTCTTTTTTGACTGAGTTCTTATGTTCTTCAATGCGTGCACTTATTCTTCTGTTGGTTTGTCCGATGTATGTGGTGGGACAAGTGGTGCATGGGATTTCGTATACTCCTTGATTTTCTAATTCAATTTTATCTTTGGGGTTTCTAAGGATGGTGGATATTTTTCTGTTTGTGCAGAATGCTGTTTTGATGTTGTGTTTATGAAGGATCTTACTGATTCTGTCTGTGGTGCCTTTTATGTATGGGAGGAGGGCTTTGCCGTTTTCTTGTTCTTTGTCTTGGATTTTGGTGGGGGTTTCTTTTTGGATTAGGTTTGTAATCTTATTTCTATGGAATCCATTGGATGTTAGTACATTGGTGAGAGTGTGTAGTTCGGGTTTTAGGTGTTGTTCGTCAGCTAAGCGTTTTGTTCTGGAGATGAGTGTCTTGGCTACAGAGTTGATCTGTGCTGGGTGGTGGTGTGAGAGAGCGTGCAGATAGCGGTTTGTGTGTGTTTTCTTCTGGTAGATGGTGTGTCCTAGGGAGCCATTGGATTTCTTGTAGACTAAGACATCCAGGAAGGGAAGTTGGTTGTTAGCTTCTGTTTCCATGGTGAACTGTATTTTGGGGTGTAGGCTGTTGAGGTGTGTGAGGAAGTTGTCCAGTTTTTCTTTCCCATGTGGCCAGATTATGAAGGTGTCGTCTACGTATCTGAGCCAGAGTTTGGGTTTGTGATCCGATTTTTCTAGAGCTTGGGTTTCAAAGTGTTCCATGTAGAGGTTGGCAATGACAGGTGAGAGGGGTGATCCCATGGGTGCTCCTTCTGTTTGTTTGTATTTTTGTCCGTTATAGATGAAGTATGTGTTGGATAGGCAGTGGTTGGTCAGATCTAAGATGTGTTTGGGGGGTTATATTTGTTTTGAATAGCTGTCAAGGCTTCTTTGATAGGCACTTGGGTGAAGAGGGATATGACATCGAAGCTCACTAGTAGGTCGCTGGGCTGTAAGCTTTGTTTCTTTATGATCTCTATAAACTGGAATGAGTTTTTTACGTGTGAGGTGATGGATTCTGCATAGGGCTGTAGTTGTTTGGCGAGAAATTTGGCTAGGTTTTGTAGAGGTGAGCCTATGGAGCTGACTATAGGTCTGAGTGGGGTTCCTTCTTTGTGTATCTTGGGGAGACCATAGAGTTTAGGGCATCTGGATGATTTCTCTCTGGGAATGATTCTTTGCTGGATCTCTTCGCTAATGGGGGAGGCTTTTATCTTGGTTCTGGTGGTTTTTTCCAGGTAGGTGGTGGGATCTGTATTTAGGGGTTTGT